GTAAATATTCAATTGAAAGTGGAGTTTTGAAAGTCAATAAGGGTGCTCTTGTAGTGATGAAAGGCATGAGGACAATGGAAAACATTGCTTGAAAAGCAAATATGAAAGCAGGCCAAGAGGTTAAAAACAAATGATGATTTAGAGTTTTTGTGAATATGAATTTAATGAGTTTTATAAAAATGAAGGCATTGTAAGGAATCACATTACTATTGTCAAAGCAAGGTGCATGTTGTCAAATGTTAGAAGTCTCTCCAAGGATTTTTGGGCAAAAGCAGTTAATATAGCTTGTCACTTGATAAATCCATCCCCATCTATGTAAGATTCCAGAAGAAGTATGGTTTAGAAACCCTCCTAATTATTCAAATTTGAAAATATTTGATTATCTAACATATGCATATGTTAATGAAGGTAATCTTGAGCTTAGGGCCAAGAAGTGTATATTTGTTGGTTATGTTTCAGGTGTGGAGGGATATAGGTTGTGATGTCTTAGTCCAAAATCACCAAAATTCATAGTTAGCAGTGATATTACTTTTGATGAATTTGCTATGCTTCATCCGAGAAATGAGTCTTTCATTTCTTATGATGCAGATAAAATACAAGGCTCAAGAAATAAAGTGGAGTTAGATGTTAAAAGTTCTTCCTCACCTCAATTTACATCAATCCAGGTGCATACAATGGTTAAGTGAGTATACAAAATTACAAATCATACAATGGTTGGATACTTGGATTAATGAAATATGAAAACTGGAAAATGGAATAAATTAATAAAATATAAAAAATACAATATAGATATAAATTGAAAATACAAAATTACATTGTTAAAAAATAGCAAATAAATTAAATAAAATTAAAACAAAATTTACAATAGTTTGAAAAAATGCTATACAACTATTGAGTGAGTATACAAAAAAAAATTTGACTTCATCATTTTCTAATTTTCTCCTATTGTTCATGACTTTCATCATCTACTTTAGGTGAAATATCGAGTGTAGTGTCATGCCCTCTATCTTGTAATCTGTCTTCAGCATCCAACCAATCTTTAAAGCAGATGCACATCTCTAGACATTCATCATTCATGCAGTTTCTCTTGTCGTCCAACACTTAATACCTACACTAAAACAAAACTTTGATGGAATTGTAAACATCAGAGGGTTTAGTAGTTCATATGCCATGGTTGCGAGAATTGGATAAGTTTTTGAGTGTTCACTCCACTGGGCTACAATATCAAAATTATTTGTTCCCTCACGTAAAGTAAAAAAATTTGCATGTAAATAAAAATTAAGTTCAAAATGAACTTGTTATTGAGGTAGCGGATTTCTTCCTTCTACTTATTAAATGAAAATGTTTCTCTCTTCTACCATTGGGCTCAAGTTCAAAAGTGGAATATGCAGCTATACAACTTGTAGAATTATTTCTTACTACTTAAGATTCATATAAATTGTACATTTCAAATAATAAACTATTAATTTCTTCTTTTTTATTTCTAATTTCAATATTCATATTTTCAAAATATGTTTCAAGTAAAACATCTAAACCATCTTTCCTAATCCTACGATCTAATATTGTAGCTAAGAAATGAATAAAAGAAATGTTCTCCTAATATTTTTTAAATTTAATTTCCATTATTTCAACATTACTTTTAAATTATGGATTATTTCTATATTTTGCAAAACGATCACTAATCACCATTAAATTGATAACATAAATTACAATTAGTTGGATAATAAATACCCAATAATTCATTAGTTGCATCATAAAAATATTTTAAAAAATATCTTATACAAATTGCAATTTGCCAGTCTTCCTCAAATAACATATCAGTAGGCATTTTTGTATTATAAAAATCATTAAGAATTTGTTCGTAAGAAATACAACTTTCTAAAATAGCATAAGTAGAACTCCATTTATGTTTAACATCTAATATAAAATTTTTATATTTTAACCATAATTTTGACATAAACATTTAAATTATTTTTTTCTTTCTCTAGAACTTTTAATATATATATAATACAATTTCTAATTTTAGAAATATGAGTAGAAATAATATTGAAAATATCCTTAATACATAAATTTAAGATGTGGCATGCACATCTGATATGAAATAACTTACCATTTAAACATGGTTTTAATTGAGATTTTAAAATATTTATTGTTGAATCATTATTACTAGAATTATCAAAACTAATAAAAAATAATTTATTGTCAATTCCATAAGCATGTAAAGTATTTAAAATGCTTACAGCAATAGCTGGGCCAATATGTGGCCATTCAAGCCTAGTAAAAATTAAAATTCTTTTATTTAAAATCCATTTTATCAATTAAATGACTAGTAACACAAATATAATTTATGTTAAATTTAGAAGTCCAAAATTCAGAAGTGCAACTTTAGAATTAAGATTTGATAAGATATACATTAAATTTTGTTTATATGTAAAAAAATTTTATTGCATCTGATCTAATAGTATTCCTATAAACTTTTTAGGATCTTCAGCTAACAAAAATGGTTGTTAAACATGTACAATGTATTTTGCTAATTCTTGCCTATTTTTTTTAGAATATTTAAATGTACCAACCCCCCTCCCCCGTCTCTCCCTTCCTCTTCTTCTTCTTTCCTATGGGTGAGCAAATGTCTGCCCAAATGATCAATACCACCCTTGCTACAATAGTTAAAATATGTCATATATGTTTGGCAATTAGTTTTTTTCCCTTCTCCTCTACTTTAAATATTTTCCAAACCGGGGTAAACAACTTAGAGGCCCTCTTTTTTTTTCCCTAGTATCAGTACTAGGGGTGGAAGTTCCATCAATATCAATAGCATCAATATCAGTGCTAACACTATCATACTGCAACTGAATATCGTCGCTGTTGAACATGTTGGAGAATTGGTTTCGAGATGAATCAACAATTTTTTTAAATTCCAAAAAATAAAAATTAATTTAATTGGACTTACCCAGATTGTCGATTCAGAATCCCAACTTGATTTTAATGGTTGAAGCCTTTCAGCTCCAACAATCCAAGCCTCCCAAATTGTTAACTTGAAATACTTGAGCTGGTTGAGCAAGACTTCTTGTTGAAACTTCAATAAAGTTGAGAATTGGAGAATCAATCAATTAGAGTTTAGAAAATGTATGAGAGGTTGAGAATTTGAGAGATTAGGAGATTGAAACTTGAGAGAGTATAAGAACTAGAGAAGAGATTAAGAGAATTGGAATTGGTGTGATGAGAATGGTGGAGGATAGGGCTATTTATAGGAATTGAAAATGATTCAATTGCCCAAAATACCCTAAAAACTAACCGTTTTTAAGTTCTTAAGAGGGGTATTTTGGTTATTGTAAACTTATTTATCACTTTACCCAAAATGCCCCCCTAAACTAGTTGTTTGGGGGCATTTGTGTCATTTTCCTCCCTCCTATATAGTTGTTTATAGCTGTTGAGGGGTATTTTTGTTAAAAAAGAAAAAACCAAAAAGCTGAAACTAGCCGTTTTAGGGGGGGGCAGTCCCCAACAGCTAGTTCTCGGGTGTGCTGAGCGTGCCCCACTACTGATACAGCCTGGACCATCGTACTGGGCCTGGTACGGCCCACATGCCTTCATGCCGGGCTGTGCTAGGCTACGGGTGGTACGGCCTGATTTACACCTCTGAAAAAGTCGATGGATGCAAACTAGATTGGCAAGCACATCACAATTATGTGAACAAAGCTTTTTATGTCACTTTATAATGCGTCTCCCAATTAGGGTCATCATCATCCCACAGATATTGCAAACTTTTAATTACTTTAAATCATATTAAAATGAAAGGTGATCTAAATGACACTCATTTGCATAGTCTATAGAGACCCTGCTTTTCTACTCCCAGCTGAAGTATTTCCTATAGCAATTGTTTTCATTCAATCCTTGTTAGTCTAGAGAGTTATATTAATTGTACTTTGGTTCTGTTTGATTGCAGTGTAAATCTAAATTGGATGCAATCGTGTACAAATTTTGAACCAAGCTCAGCTTTCCATTTATTTGTAATTATGATTTGTACTCCAAATTGATATCAATTTTTTACCTTTTATCCATTTGCATTCATTAATAGTAAAAATTTTGCATCCCAAAATTTTATGCAAAATTTGTACCACTTTCTCCTACCTTAATTCTATCTCTGGGGACTGGCAGGGGACCACATCATCTTGCTTCCTACTTCACTCCCAAACAAACAACCCACTTCGAACTTCCATTCTTTTTGAGGACTAGTGGAATACATCATTTTACTTCTTACAAACAAATAAGACAAAGTCAAATTTAAAGCAAAAATAAATAAGAATAATTTACACTAAAACTATTTGCACTCCCATGCATTTACACCAGTGCAAATGAATTCACGGTATTTGTTCTTGCATACGTTCTTATCTATCAACTTATAATATATTATTAAAATCAAAAATAAGTATTGTAGATATTACAATATTATTTTGTTATGTTACTTAATTCCGCTCTAGTTTTTTTATGCTTTCCTACCAATTGTTAGTACAGTACACAAATTGACGTTGTGGGTAGTGTGTGGATTAGTATGTTCTTTATGCTGACCATCCATATATCCCCAAAAAGAAATATTTCCCATCAATCTCCAAATATTTTACGGCCCTAATTGGATGCTTAAGTTGATGAGTTGAGAATCTACTCATCACAGTTGCAACCGATGAAGCAAATATAGAAAACAGAAGAACTAACTAGTCCAACAAAAAATCATACCTTGTATAGAACTTCTGTCCCAAAAGAAAATCAGCTCCCACTATCATCACAAGTCATAACCCACCTCCAGCTCCACCCTCTCAGTGCTATCACTCTATCTTCTCTCAGCAAGTTTTTTGTGGTGGTTCTCTCTTGCTCCTCAACCAGACTCTCATGTCTTCTCCTTAATGATTAATTTATTTATCATAAGGTTGCAAGGTCAGCCGCATAGGTGGGAGGAGTGACAAATAAAAGGAACCCAAAGTCAGCCACATTCATTTCTAACCATGGTACTCAAGAGAACCATGTTAGTTCTACTATTACTTCAATATATGGTTTTGGCCTTTGATCATCCATTCTCTGATAATCACCAACTCCACCAACACTCCCTACTAACAGACAAAGCTGCTCTTCTGGCCTTCAGAGATACTATAACATCAGACCCAAATTCTGTACTTGCCAACTGGGACCAATCATCCAACGTGTGCACATTTACAGGCGTCAATTGCAACAGGTGGCGCCATCGAGTGGTGAAACTCTGGCTCAATGGGACCAATATAGGTGGCCTGCTTTCTCCCTTCATTGCAAATCTCACCGGTCTCCGGCTCCTTGATCTCTCAGATAACCACTTACATGGCCTTATTCCACCTGAATTTGCCTCCTTACGCAACCTTCGTCTCCTACGGCTTGTTGGAAACAATCTGCAAGGTAGGATACCAGGTTCTCTTTCCCACCTTTCTAAGTTAAGATATCTCAATCTGGCAGGGAACAGCCTTACTGGTGCAATTCCTGCATCCATTTTTATCAACTGCACTTCCTTGGCCTATATTGACCTTTCTAGCAACTTACTCACCGGAAAAGTTCCAGACATTGGACATCTACCTGACCTTTGGTGCCTCAACTTATTTCAGAACAACTTGACTGGGAAAATCCCTGCTTCTCTGTCCAATGCGTCAGCGTTATATAATTTAGATTTGGAGAATAATCATCTCTCTGGTGAATTGCCATCAGAAGTTGTAGGGAAGCTGCAAGAACTTAACTTTCTTCATTTATCATACAATGATATGGTCAGCCACGATGGCAACACTAATCTTGAGCCGTTCTTCACATCTCTTATGAACTGCACTGAGCTAACAGAGCTTGAATTGGCAGGTATGGGACTGGGAGGAAGCTTGTCCAGTACCAAATTTGATCAACTAGGGACTGGATTGTTAACTATCCACCTAGAAGAAAACCAAATCTTTGGGTCCATTCCTCCAAATGTGGCAAACCTCATGAACCTTACACTGCTGAATTTGTCAAGCAACCTTCTAAATGGAACAATTCCAGGAGAGATAGGTAATTTGAGATTAGAACAGCTGATCTTGTCAAACAACTCACTCACTGGAGAAATTCCAGCCACTTTAGGATGGATTACTTCAATGGGTCTGCTCGATTTGTCTAAGAACCGATTATTCGGAGAGATCCCAGCAAGCATAGGGAATCTAAGTAGACTGAATTATCTGTTCCTTAACAATAACATGCTTTCAGGAGCAATACCTCCTAGCATAGGACAGTGCAAGGATTTGCACAAGCTAGATTTGTCTTATAACAGATTAACAGGGAATATCCCTAAAGAAATATCAGGTCTAAGTGAGATCAGGATGTTCTTGAACTTTTCACATAATCTTCTCCAAGGAACTCTGCCAATTGAGATTAGCAAAATGGAATCGGTGCAAGAGATTGACCTGTCCATGAACAATTTTAGTGGGATCATCTTCCCTCAACTGTCAGGCTGTATTGCAATAAAGCTGATCAATCTGTCACACAATTCCTTGCAAGGAAAGCTTCCAGAATCCTTAGGTCAACTTCGGAATCTAGAGTCACTGGATGTTTCTAACAATTTTTTATCTGGTGAGATCCCATTAAGCTTAAGTAGATGCCCTCTCACTCAGTTGAATCTTTCATTTAATGATTTTAATGGATTGATACCCACTGGTGGCATTTTCAGTTCAGCCATAAATCTTTCTTTCTTAGGCAATCCACATCTATGCGGATCAGTTCCTGGAATACCCATCTGCCAAAGAAGTCATGAATGGATTCATTCACGAATGTTCTTGATCATGATTTGCATTGTAGTTTCTGTTTCAGCATTCATATCGACGATATTATGTGTGATTTGTTACCAGCACATGAGACGAATACTTTCCTCTAGGAAAGATGAAATGTTCAGATATTCAACGCCAACACTGAAATCCAACTTTCCAAGAATTACTTACAGAGAACTTTCAGAGGCCACCGGAGGATTTGATAAGGAAAAGCTGATCGGTTCAGGTAGTTATGGACATGTCTATGGAGGATTCTTAGGCGATGGGACTGTTGTTGCAGTCAAAGTACTACAGTTGCAAAGTGGTAATTCTACAAAAAGCTTCGATAGAGAATGCCAAGTCCTAAAGAGAATTCGTCACAGAAACCTGATGAGAATCATTACAGCATGTAGTCTACCAGATTTTAAGGCTCTTGTTCTTCCTTATATGGCAAATGGGAGTTTGGAGAGCCACCTCTACCCACACCAGGAAATAGGCCTGCGTTCAGGTTCTTCAGATTTGAGCTTGATACAGAGGGTCAACATCTGCAGTGACATAGCTGAAGGGATGGCTTATTTGCATCACCATTCTCCTGTCAGAGTAATACATTGTGATTTGAAGCCGAGTAATGTGCTTCTAAATGAAGACATGACTGCTCTGGTTTCTGATTTTGGGATTGCAAGGTTGGTGAATACTGTAGGAGGGGGAAATGGTGGAATTGTTGACAACATGGGGAACTCTACTACAAATATGTTGAGTGGATCTGTTGGATACATTGCACCAGGTACATTTTCTCCTCCCTATTTTCTTCAAGATTAGAGTAACACAAATTTAAAGAATTTTTTTATTCGATATAACTGAATAACGAATATACGTACAGAATGAATCCTATTTTTCTTAGAAACCATTATCATGTAACAAAGATATGGTGTCATCTAGCTTGTTGATAAAGTCTCTAGCTGGTTTATAGCAGAGACTAGGGATCGAGTCGATCTGGCTTTCACCAGGGTTGGGGGTTTAGGGGTTTGGGTTTGGGGGATGGCTACTCCCCTCCCCTCCCCATCGTGTAGCCTATTGCCTATCGAAAAGAAAATTGTTAGAATTGAGAGTGCAAGTAGCTGAGGGTAAATTCTGCTTTACTTTTGCTTGAGATTTGACTTTATCTATGGTGAGAAGTAAAATGAAGTGGTCCCTACTTTATATGGAAGAGAATGGAGATGGTGGGGGGGGGGGGTTATTTGTTTGGGAGTCCGGTAGGAAGCACGATGATGTGATGATCCCCACTTCATATAAGAGTGAATTGAGGTTGGAAGAAAGTGGTGCAAATCTTGTAATGAAATTGAGACAAAAAAAAAAGTACAAATTTTGTAATTAGTGCAAATAATATTTCCATACAAACAAGTGCTAAACTGAACCTGGTGCAAATTTTATATCTGGTTCAGATTTGCAAAGCAAATAAAGGGAGCCCTGGCAACAAAAATTGCTTACATGGGGAAGATCTCATCAAGCTTGATGGTCTTTTAGCATTGCTAGGTCGATCAATCTTTAGCAATTTTATTCAAATTGGATAGTGTACTGCTGCATTGTACCCATGCTTCCTGGAATATGTAGTGTTAAAGTGAAATCTTTAATTAATCTTTAGCCTATGTAGTACATAAAATTTTGTTTAACCAACAACCCTTTTTATCATGTAGAGTATGGATTTGGTTCAAGTACATCCACAAAGGGAGATGTTTACAGTTTTGGCATTTTGGTACTTGAGATGGTTACTAGAAAGAAACCCACAGATGACATGTTTGTTGGCGGGTTAAGCCTCCATAAATGGGTGAAGAGCCACTATAATGGAAGGGTGGAAAGGGTGATAGACCCTTCTTTGATGAGAGCTGCAAGAGATGAGTCTCCTGAAGTTAAGAAAATGTGGGAAGTCGCAATTGGCGAACTGCTCGAGTTGGGTCTACTTTGCACCCAGGAAGCCCCATCAACTAGGCCTACCATGCTTGATGCAGCTGATAACTTGGATCGCCTAAAGAGATATCTCAGTGGTGATACAACTGCAACATTTGCTTCTTCACTTGGGATATCATCTTCTACCATAGGGGAGGATTGGTGACTGTCCAAGGTGCTGTACATACAATGAGAATGTACATTTTGTCTGATCTTCCATGTTGTCCTTCATAGTTTTAATTTACATACTGTGGATCTATCACCATTAGAGACATATCAGGTTTGACCCACAGCAAAACAAATAAACAAATGGAAAAATTCATCTCCAAATCTTGTACTACTGGTAGTAAATATTTTGATGAGTCAAATGCAGATCAACCACAGTGAAAACTCAATTGGACTGAATGATCATAACCAGTAATTTCAATTCTCACCCCTTTGGCAACTCATACAATTAAATAAAAGTCTGAAGGAACTAATGGCTGCCTGTACCTTTCATATATCATATCCCCACCACCTGTAAAGTACTGATTTTTTAGGCCATAGATCAGAAAAGGTGCCACTCAATGATCAACAACCATATAAGGATTGAGCACGTCCTGACCAGTTCTCAATGCATTCAAGCAATTATGAAGTTGGTCCTTTGAGCTTTGAAGGTGTGAATTGTTCCACCATACAGTGCTTCTCCCACTTAGATAGATTGATTGAAGGTATATATCACTGGTTTTTGGATAGGAAGACCTCACCAAACAGTTGCATGTTTTGTTTGTACATGTATAGAGGAAAGTGAGTGGATGATGGTGCGCCATGATAGTGACCACCATCAAGTATAAAGCCTAGCTAGTGATTTACACATTGGCTACTGAAAGCAAACGTGTGTGATTGGAACAAACAAATAAAATACACAAGATACATGAAAAATAAAGAGGACAAATGCTTGGATGAAAAGGCAAATCAAAGTGGGGTTATCCTAGAGCTGTCAATGGGTTAGGTCTATCGATACAACTGATCGAATTGACTATGTTGGTTCTGGTTCTGTGGTTCTGTCGTGATTAATAATTGAATCAGAACCAATTCTTGGTGTTCCGAACTGATAAAGACCTGGACCGATTATCTAGTTAATAATTTATATACGCTTCCTGATTTTTGTTATAATTATGCCTAAAAGGATAAATAGACTGTATGCAAGGTTCAAAGTATTGGAAACGTTAAGTGTATCGGAAAGGAAGTTGTAAGAGATATATCGGAATACGCCTTGAATACACATGCGTATCGGAGAAGAATTAAGATATGCTTGGAAATACTATAAATACTTTAATAAACATAAAAATACATCAACAACATTAAATATAAGACCTCAATGAGGTGTATATATATTAAATTAATATATTTTAGTAGTTTTATGAAGAAATATATTATAGCTAATTATAATTTCATTAAAAATTCTATGCTTAATTATACTTTATAAATTATATTTCTTAAGTTTTAATATTTTATGGGATGAGAAAAGCCAAACTCTCCTATCCAACCATAAAACATGCATTGGCACAACTTTTATGTGAAAACATAATTTATAAGTATTTATTTTTTAAATAATTATTATTTATTATTCATTTCTAAAATATATAAAAATAAATAAACATTATATAATATATTCAAAAAATAGTTATTAAAGAAKAAATTTCAATTGCTTTGTGGATATGATAGATCATCCATAGAATTATAATATATTCAATCATTGTGATCAAATGATAAAATATAATTATTTATTTATTTATTTATTTATTTATTCTAAAAAAATAAAATAAATAATTATTAAAGAAGAAATTTCAATTGGTCTATGGATATTGTAGATCATCCATAGAATTATAATATGTTCAATTGTTGTGACCAAATGATAAAATATAATTAATTATTTTTTTTAATTCTAAAAATATAAAAATCAAAAAAATTATTAAAGAAGAAATTTTTTTGTTAATTTATAAAAATCAAAAATTTTTTTTTTCTTTTTTTTTGTTAATTTATATTTTCCCCAAATATCTTCATGAAATTTCCATAAATCTAGTGATAGCACAAAAAAATTATGATTTTAAATGTAAGAAATGTAGATCAACATAAATTTAAACATTTAAGAAAAAAAAAATCACAAGATATTATAAAATACCTATTTTTGCCATATTTTTTCAAAATTTGAAAAATCTAACGATTCACACTTGTTTCTTACAAACTTTTGCAAGTCTAGCACTCTAGGAATGAAGTTTAGGCTTTTTGAGTCATTTAGGGATGATAGAAGGCTTATTTCAGGGAAAAGTAGCTTGCTTTTCCCCTTTAATTTTTTTTTGTTTTTGGTCGTATCCTTTTCGTCAATACGCTACCAATACACCCCGATACGGGTCCAATACGCATGAAAAAAGACAAAACATTCAGTTTCCATGCGTATCCTGTATCGGTTTTTCAAAGATACAATACGAAAAATTTTGTATGATAGCTTTGGTTAAAACACTTATTTTATCAACATATAATAGGGTCAAATCCTATTGTCCTCATTAATAATTGGTTCATGACTAATACCACCTATTCCGGACCAGACCCAATCCTCTAACAGTACTAAAACAGAATAATAAAACCAATGAATAATGGGAGCGGGACTGCTTAAAGGGAAACACTATATTGTTTCCTCCTTTATAATATAGATTCTAAGAATTAATTTATACCACTTGAAAACCTTGCTTTGTTAATGAACAGTTGTGAGTTAACAATTCACAGTAATGGCCAGGGTTTTAGTTAATTTCTATCATTATAGGATCAAAACAACAGTATTAAAATAGCTTATAGTTCCATTCTTTTTCTTCACTATTACAAGTTAGCTTCTTTCATATCCTTACAAAGTCAACCAACGAAATTTGCTTAAGTCTTTACTTCTACCTTGACCCCTACAAAAATATCCATTGTTTCAAAGAAATATACAAATGCACCCTTCCTTTAATTATCCTATAAGATAGTAACTGAGACGTTGAAATTATGACCATGTCTGCAAAGAGTAAACACTAGGGTTCTTTTTTTCTTATCTTTTCTTTTTGTAAGAAGAGAGAATAGGCACTAACAAAATAGGGGGCAACCCCACAAGTTTTTTCTTAAGATTGTCTAAGTATGGTATTTCCGCTAATGCTAATAGGGGAAGTTTAAGTGTAACATGGGTGGGCTTGGGTTGGGATTTTGTTAAAATTTGAATGGGCCTGCCCCAAAGGCCCTAGCCCAAAGCAATGCAAAATGTTATTTTAGGCCAACCCCAATTGCACCCCTAAGTACAATCCTAACTTGGTCTTTTATGAGGTCGATAGGCACGGCCCAAGAATGTGCTGCCATGCATCCTAGAACAAACCAAACACTATCACTCGAACCAGTTTGATCACCAAACCGACCAACCAAATTAGACTGCCTGTGAAGCATAACCAAATAAGGATGAGATATCGAGAAGCTTAGGCCAACCCTAATGCTTGCCTCCCTACAGGACTAAAACTCCTTGGCAAACATGACACCTCTTCTCCTCCTCTATATATAGGTATTGCATTCTTGGAATAATGTATGTATCATACAACCCTCTCTTACCTCCTTGCTTTCTTACTTTCCTCATGGACTAGCCTCCTTTGCTCAATCCAACGACTCATTGCTTACTTGTTGACTTCAGCATCAAAAAGCTCACCCCAAGGGAAAATAAACCAATTAAAACAAACAAAAGGAAAGCTTACCAACCTCAATTGCCTTGATGTAGGCATGGCGCTAAAGAACCTTGGTAGAATGGAACCTAGCCCCTCCTGATCCATGGTAAAGTAGATTCCTTAGGCCAACACCTTGGCCGCCCACTTGATCCTCACAAAATCGGCCTGATTGACAGGGACAAACCACTCTAACACGAACATCCTCCTCTTCAAGGCTCATGGAGTCACCACAATCGTTTTCGTCCCAATCTCATCTTTGTACAGGATCTCGAGTACTCTTGGGTGATTGCCTGGGGAACAGTTGCCTCAACTCAATCAAAGGGGTACCCTTGCCATCAACCTCAAGTCTCTTCCTCTTCCTTACATGCTTGAGAAATATAATGATCATCCATCTTTAAAACAAGAAAAAAATGAATATCAAAACATGCACAAACATTAAAAAGAAAGCTTGAAATCTACGATCAACTTGGGTTATGCCCTTACCTAAATTTGACCAACGTAGCCCATCCTCAACTAGACAAGTCTTAGACAAGAACTCTTTGACATTGACCTTAGCCCTAACCAAACTCTTAAAATCCCTATCATCTTTCCTGACTAGCACAGGCTAGTTACAAAGGCCAACCACCTCGTCAGTAACCACCATGCCTCTAGCTCAATCACATAGAAAAACCACTTCTTCCAACTGGGGATAAAAGAAGGAGCCCTAGTAAATCGAATTCCTTTTTTCTAGGCCAAGAAGTAATGCCACCCCTGAACTAGGGATAGTTCTTCAACACAAAAAGTGCCTAGAAGACCTAAGCAAACAAGCCAACTTAGTGGACCCAAGCCACGTAGGCAACATGCACTAGGAATCTCACCAAGTTCAACACTAGTTGAGATACAGTTACTCGATAGAGGGTCAAAATCTAGGCAATCCGCCCATCCATGAAAAACCTAAGCTTGACTTTTAAACTATCCTCATAGATGCACAGTCAACCCATAGGAGCCTCATAAGCCTTCTCCTCCTCAAATGAGAAAGGGTCAAAATCTAGGCAATCTGCTCATCGATGAGAAACCTAAGCCTAACTTTTAAACTGTCCTCATAGATGCACAACCAACCCATAGGAGCCTCATAAGCCTTCTCCTCGACTTGAGGCATGTTTCCAAACTTGACCTCTTTTCGAATCACATCCGAGGTCCTAACCTCAAGAACACACTCAACTTCATTGTCCACATCAACAATATTCACTTACATGTATCTTGCCTTAGCCTTTACCTCGCCCTTGGCACCAAAAGGCATAGCTTGACTCTAAACTTTGGCTTCCTCAGCCTCAATCCCCAAAACGGCATTATCCTTGGCCAAAGGACTACCAACCTTAGTCTCCCTAACCTCAACCTACTCAGTCTCGACTAATGAGCTAGAGCAGCTACTTCCTAACTCCGACCCTAAATTTGAATGCTCAAACCAAAAACTAGAACTTGAACTAGTAGACATTATGAACGAGCATGGTAAGGTAACTTGCCGAACCAACTAATATAAGACACCGAGCAACCAATCCGAATTTAACTACTGACCTAGCTCTACTCTACTCTCCTAAGTACTCCAAAAGTAAATGATGGAATCTTAATCACTTAGGACTCCTTGTCTAGGAACTTCAACGACCCAAATCAACCCACAATCAATAGTCTAGATTAAATCCCAATCTGACACCCGCCCATCATACAAGTAGAAGTAATGTGACCCCCTAGAGAACATGTATAGCAGACATGCCTTGGATGGAGAATGGCATCATAGCTCGGATCTAAGGGCCTATTTGTTTGCTATGAAGTCTGACATCAGAAAGTACAATAGTTACATGAAGAGGTATATTGGTATTGGTGAACTTTTCTTTCCTCTGAACTCTGAATGCAGAGAATGTTATTCTAAATTTAAAATTCTGAAAATTATCAAATATCTATTTTGATCCCATATATGAGAGTTTTTGTTTGCCTTTTTGGGGGTATTATTGGAAAACAAAAAGTTGTATGATTGCACTTTAATAGATAAGAGACAAAAGGAAATGAACAACAAATTTTCTCTTAATGTTAAAAGATTCTTCTTTATCTTAAGAGAAAAGAATTAAGAAGAAACAAATAGGCCCTAACTCTTCTAGTGGCATTACTTTCTTCAACTGAGCCAACCTCTCAATGCCCAAGCATCAAGGTGACGACATCAATCTCGAAAGTGGAGGACAAGTGATGAGGCCCAAAGTTGCAGCTCAAGCCTATGCCCACCACTTATCTTAGAACAAATCAAAGAACTCACCAATTACTTGAATTGGCCTAGCCCAACTTAACTGCCCGTAAAGCACGACCAAGTAAGGATGAGATATCAAGAAGCTCAAGACATCCCTAATGGTCATCTCCCTATAGGACTAGGATTGCTTAGCAAGCATGGCACCTCCTCACATCCTCTCACACATCCTCGCATTCTTGCTTATCTTACTTACCAGCCTCCTTTACTCGGCCTGGCAATTCACTACCTGCCTACTAACTTAAGCATCAGAAAGCTCACCCGGGAAACATACCTCGGGAATCTCTACTTTCTTTTAGGTCTTCCAAAGTAGCCCAATTTGACTGCTCACTTCAATTTGACCTCTTTTTTCTCTTTATCTATTGCCCAGATTTGGACTGCAATAGCCTTCATTGTTCACTTAGGTTATGTTTGGTTTGAAGGAAAAGGTGAGGAAAGGAAAGGAAAGGTAAGGAAACCTATATAGTGATTGTTTCCTTACCTTTTCCTACTTTTTCCTTCAAAACAAAAGTAGCCTTAATGATAAGTGATTGATGAAACACACTTAAATAAAGTGAATCACCTTTTTGAGATAATTTGATAAATCTTCATCCCGATAAGGTTTTCTTACCAACAAAAATAGGATTTTAAAAACTTTTTAAGACATTACATCAAAAATAGGATTTTAAAAACTTTTTAAGACATTACAACAAAAATAGGATTTTAAAAACTTTTTAAGACATTACATCAACGTTTTATGCCAAAATAATTAACGGAAGGGGTCGTACTCCTCCTCCTCATCATCACCTAAGCCTTGTCCCAATTTACATGAATCTTGTTTCATCATTCCATTCTGTCCAATACCAAATCCTTGAAGACAATTGATACATGTTTAATTATGTTTGCATGTTTATTTGAAACATTGAAGGAGGTTTTTTCGGAGGTCAAAAAACATGCGAGGTTTCAAAGGGAAGGTTCATGTAAATGATCAGAAAAAGAGAAGAGAAAGGAATTTGAATTGATAAACAAAAAAACATAGATTTGCCAACACAAAAATCCAAACAAGACAAAGGTACTTTTCATAGCACATCAATACTGATCAGTGACTCAAGCCTGCAGAGATAGTGGGTGTGCAATATTGTGTACACAAGTTCAATTCCACCCTGCAAATGCGTCTCCCAACCACCATGTCTTAGTTGCTTCGTTGCCACTCTCGTCTCCACGCACAGCAAGTAGCCAATAAGCAAATTTATGCGCTCAAGTGCCCACAAGTTCCATCAGTATACTTGAGTTGCCTATCCACTTTATGCTGTGTTGCAGCATTAAGATCGTTCAGTGGCACATGCGTCAAGCATTAACAGCTTTCAGAGGTCGAAATTTTTCTTTCACTGGCAACCCATGTTGGTCAAATTCGAACAAGCAAGAATGAAAAAGCAAGTTCTTTTGCCAAGAAGAGAAGCTTTAAATTCATCAAGCTAAATGATGGAAGGTTTCTTAGCTTCCTTAAGCTACATGATAATGCTTTATCAAAAATAACAATCCAGGTGTTTAGCTGTTAGCACCATGCGTTTCGAGAGTGGTCTGATACATTGAAATTTGAAAAAGCTGACAGGTTTTCTGAGTGTCTTGTTTTTTTCGAAAAAAAACAGGAGATGGCATTCCTGATTCTTGGTGAAACAGAATGCTTGTGAAATGACCTGATGTCAAACAACATGCAAGATTTATGCGTAAAAACAGAGGAAAGTGTTCCTGATTCTTAGAGAAACAAAACAACTTGTGAAACATATTGGTGCCAAATTTCATGAATACCTAGCCCAGAACCATGCTATATATTGGTATATTGGTAGGACAAATCATTCTCCATTGCTTCCCATGTTTATCAACTTGGCCCATCATAATTCTCGGAACTTTAGCTCCTAATTAAAGGCAAGAAAAAAAGTTGAGAAATTAGGGACGTTCCAAAAACATAGTTGATCTTGCATTCTGTATGACCGAAAAGAGCAATTAAAAGTTGTTTCCACCTCTTCTTTCACTTTTTTTCCATTTAAGCTTGGGCTCATATCCCGAAAATAAGGTACTAAGGATGACTGAAAACACCAAAACAAACTTTTACTTTGACATGCACTTGCAATAATCAATATATTTAATTCCTTCATCTTTGCTTAACAATTTGGACCTCGAGATGGAATATAATCCACAAACAAAGAGCTAAGTAATATTTAATGATGTCATATTTAATCTTGTTAACAATTTGACTTTATTTAATTCCTTCATCTTTGCTTAACAATTTGGACCTTGAGATGGAATATAATCGGCAAACAAAGAGCTAAGTAATATTGAATGATGTTTTTGTTAGTAGAAAAGGGAATTGGCTGCAGATTTTTCTTGTCTTGTCATTCATTGTTCTGCTTAGTAGTTAAAGTGAAAAATGAGAATAAGAAGTTGATTTGGATACTACTACCACCATGATGGCATGGATCCATATTTTCTTTGTTGCTTTTATTTTCATTATTAGTTACAACCTCTAACTTCTAATTATTACTGTCGATGAAGAAAGACCACTAAGAAGGGGAAAACTGGATCAAATAAAAGGCCATTACCCAATGATGGTCCCACTATTTGGAGTTCACTTTTGCTAAAAAAGAGGAAATGCTCCTTTGAATTGTTGATAACAAAGCCATCTTGTTCATGTTATCATGAGAAGTTTATTCTTTCAAACATGCACAATGTGGCTATTCGATCCACTGTGAAAAAAGAGCATTTTGGAATTTTTTTCCACTATCTTCCTTTGGGCCATTTTTTGCATAAAGTGACCATTGTCAAACTTGAACCCCATTCTCACACTTGTCAGCCCGACATTTTACAATTTTACCAAGCAATGGCCCCTACCAAACTGTATCAAATAGTAAATAGATAAGTACTACAAAAAGATTTGAGGTTTTCAATAAGCCATGCCTATGTATGTTAGAAATCCAACCATACAATCTAACTGGATTTTTTTTTTTTTTATTTTCTGTAGACCACGAGGAAGCAGGGGTTACACCTAAATAAGATTAACAAAATTATTAATGTAATAAGAGGAGAAAATCAAACAAAAGAGATCTTATTGGGTAAAATTCCTTGGCATTCTATTTCCAACAAATTAAGACAAAAGGAGACAGTATAACTGTATAAGGTGATGTAAAATCTGTTAATTTTTTAATGGGTCTGCATGGATGGATCAATCCAACAATAATCAAACACCACTGAAAAATTAAAAGCATTTTAAGTTACCAATCATCACATCCAAAATATAAGATAGCTATTAAGCCAGAGTTCCTTTTCGTCAATTAACCAGCAGGGCCTATCCCTATGAAAAAAGGCAGAGAAGATATTTATTTATAACAGAGAATTTCGCATGTAGGGTTATTTGTCTTTTTCGTGAAGTACTTCTTTGACTTCTAATAAGGGGATGTGCCAGTTTATCAAAAAAATGAAGAGAAAGAGACGGAGAGGGAGAGAGAGAGAGAGAGAGAGAGAATGGCATGCTTTCACTTTTAGAACTAAAATATATACTTTGAATTTGGCTAGCATTAGGGAGCCATGGAACCAGGAAAAAGAGCACTTAGTTTATAGTGTTCTAGGGTGCACTAAGACATCAAGTTATTCAAATGATAAAATATTTTGAATCTGTCAAGTCTTTGTCTTAGTTTACTACTCTGAAAACCCACATTTTTTCCAATATGGGGTTTTTATAAATTTAAGGTTCTTATAAACATTCCATAACAACTCTTATATTAACCAATAGAAAAGCAGAAAAGACTACAAAAGTAAACTACCTGTAAGAGGTCTCGTCAATATATCATATTACTGAATAAAATAATTCAAAATCTTCTCTTTTTCACCTTTTCTGTTTTAATTCTTAAATAGAGAAGTGGAGATAATCTAGTTCTCCACTTAGTGCCAGAAGCAAGAAACAAACCGAGATATAATTGCTGCCTAGCGTGACCTACCCATATAACCACTGGAGTATTCTACTTCAGTAGACGGATTACTAAAAGATGGTTAACATATAATGAGTCATCAGTTAATATGGTATTATGAAGTTGGAACCCCCCCTCCCCTGCGCCCAATGCACATACACGTGAAGGTAAAAAAGAACAGGTAATTACAGTAAAAATGGACCAAAACGATTCACCAATGCCAATAGTTTCAATCAGTGATCTTAGATGATCATGGATTCTGCATACATAGGCCAAACAAAAAGGAAAAAAAGATTCTGAGAAACAGAATAATTGTAAAGTGACGTCTCTTATTCTCTTCATCTTTGAATTTTTTTTCCAAATACAGAGATAGGAGGAGATGGGTGGGAATTATGTTAAACACAATGGACATGTTGGGCACCAACTTCACAGGTGTTGCTAACAGATGAGTAGAACTTATTAGCTTTATGTCCCACTAGTCCAATTGCCCATGGCACCAGTAGATTTCTAATGTTTAATCATCAACTTCAGAGATATCTCTTTTTCATTTGTCTGTTTCTTAATCCTCATTCTCTCTTTTCTTCTCGTCTACCTTTTGTTCTTTAATAAACATGTAAGTTTTGCACTTCTTCAACCTTTGGTCATTGTACTTAGAGACTTCCATTACTCATAGTAAGGCAATCATCAGAATGGATCTTTGGACCATGGTCAGTGCCATTCTACTCCTTACATTACCATTCACTGTTGGTTCTCTTCAAGATCACCCCAAAAAGCATGGAATTAACACAGACCGATCAGGACTCTTGGCATTTAAGCAAGGCATATTGTTTGATCCTCAGAAGGCCCTTGATAATTGGAGAGAGACAATTGATGTTTGCCGATGGAAAGGAGTGTCTTGCAGTTCAAATGGAGAAAGAGTAACTGGCCTTTATCTCAAAAGTAGATATCTCCAAGGAACAATATCACCATTTCTATCAAATCTCTCATCCCTTCTGCAGCTTGATCTCTCAGAAAATTTGCTTCGAGGACCAATTCCTTCTGAGTTTGGAGCTCTAGCTAGCCTAGAGGCACTTAGTTTACGTGCAAATCAACTTCAACATCAAGTTCCAGAGAATTTTGGCTTGCTCAAACACCTTCGGTTCATTGACCTGAGCAAGAACCAACTAGAAGGCCGGATTCCAGCCTCCCTTTTCTACAACTGCACTGAGCTAGAGTACGTGGACCTCTCTGATAACTTGTTCATTGGTTTCATCCCTTCACAGATAGGAAATCATCTTCCTTATCTTGAAACTTTCCGACTTTATCTGAACCAATTGAGTGGGATAATTCCCACTTCTCTCTCAAACTCATCCTATATGGTTGAGCTTGATCTCGAATACAATTTTCTCACTGGTAGATTGCCAACAGAGATCATGAAGAAAATGCCTCTATTGGAGATATTATATCTGTCAGGTAACCTTCTAAAGAGTGATGATGATAATACAAACCTGAGCCCTTTCTTTGCTGCCATTTCAAATTTGACCCATCTAAGGGAGCTTGAGATAGCAGGAAACAACCTTGGAGGTGAACTTCCATCAATAAATTGCTTGCTTTTCACCAATCTCTCAGAGCTTCATCTCGAAGATAATCTAATATATGGTTCAATTCCACCAAGTATAGCTGGCCTCTCTAAACTAACCTTGTTAAATTTATCCAGCAATCTTCTGAATGGAACCATTCCCTCTGAGTTAGGTCTTCTCCCCAAGTTAGAAAGACTGATTTTATCTAATAATTCGCTAAGTGGTCAAATTCCAGATCTTCTTGGTGAACTCAGTCACCTGGGCCTCTTAGATTTGTCAAGAAACAAACTGTCTGGACCAATTCCAGCCTCACTAGTAAATCTTACTCAGCTTAGGATATTAATCCTCTATGAAAACCTTCTATCAGGAGCCATACCAGCAACCATTGGAGGGTGTATAAATCTACAGATCCTTGACTTGTCACATAACAAGTTAACTGGAACCATACCATCAGATATTGCAGGATTAAGTGATATGGGAATATACTTCAACCTTTCTAACAATTTCCTTAATGGAGAACTTCCAATGGAGATTGGAAAAATGGACAAGGTTCGAGCCATTGATCTGTCATCAAACAATTTCAGCGGTGCAATTCCTACTACTCTGGCAAGCTGTGGTGCTGTTGAAGTGATCAACTTTTCTCACAATTCTCTTCAAGGTCGGATTCCTCCATCCTTGGGTAATCTTCTAAACCTCCAGTCCTTGGATATCTCACACAATCTACTTTCTGGTGAGATTCCAGGTGAACTGAGTAAATCCGGCAGTTTAGTCCAACTAAATCTCTCATTCAATAACTTCAATGGTTCAATCCCAAGTGGAGGTCTCTTTAATTATTTAACATTTGAATCATTAAAGGGCAATCCAAATCTCTGTTGGTCATTAGCAGAAATTCACTGCCAGTCTGGGGATAGATCTGCACTACATTCTCACAAATTCCTGATTATGGTTGCCAGCTGCCTCTCTGCAACAGTTTTTGTTCTTACGCTTGCTTGTGGGTTATTAGGATACAAATTTAAAAAAAAATTCGAATTTAGAAGGATTGGTGTTTCAAGTAAGTCTTTTATTGCATTAAGATCTAGCCACTCAAGAATCACTTATAGAGAACTAATTGACGCAACAGGAGGGTTTGAGCAAAACAGATTGATTGGGTCTGGTAGCTTTGGACATGTTTACAGAGGGGTTCTAAGAGATAAAACTGTGGTTGCCATCAAGGTTTTACAGCTGCAAACTGGAAATTCCACCAAGAGCTTTGACCGAGAATGTCAGGTTCTGAAACAAATTCGGCACCGAAACCTGATGAGGATTATTACAGCCTGCAGTCTCCCAGAGTTTAAGGCATTGGTTCTACCTTTCATGGCCAATGGAAGCCTAGAGAGCCATCTTTACCCACAGACAAAGAGCTTTGGTTCTTTGAGCTTGATTACACGAGTGAATATCTGCAGTGACATAGCTGAGGGGCTTGCTTACTTGCACCACCATTCTCCAGTTAAGGTCATCCATTGTGACTTGAAGCCTAGTAACATCCTCCTAAACAATGAAATGAATGCACTTGTATCAGATTTTGGCATTGCAAGGTTGATTATGAGAGTTGGTGAGGCAAATGTAACAAGAAACACCAATAGTTCAACAGCCAACTTACTATGCGGCTCAATTGGATACATTGCTCCAGGTACCATTCTCTTTCAACTATAGAACCTCTATTGAACTTGATTTTTGTACAGGCCTTCAAAAAATATGATGATGTGTAGCTTTATGCATATAAGACATTATTAGTAATTCAATTAATCTGAATGAAAAAAGTGATTGGGAGGTTTTGTTTATTCATGTTAGAGCACACCCCCTAACTTGTTGGATGTTAGCTCAATTTTCATATAGTTTTTGCATATATTTAAATTTGAAGCAACTCAATTGGGTTGAGGATGATTAGATGACAATTCAAACCCAACTAAAATACCAGAACATTTAGACTTGGCAAAACTCAAATTAAGCATCAACTGAAGTTAGTATTCTCAATCTCATAAAATTATGCTGGGCGAGGTTAGTTGTACTTTTCCCCAATCCATGCTCAACCTGTCTAGAAAACAACCCAAAGTTTTCTTGGCATATATATATATATAAATATATATATACACACACACACACACATATATTATACATATACATGTACAACTTTCAAAATTCAGAGAACTTTCCCTCTCTTGATTTAAGAATTCTTTTGCACATTTTATGTCACTCCAGAATATGGACTGGGAAAAAATGCATCCACAAAGGGTGATGTCTACAGCTTTGGAATCCTTGTGATGGAAATTGTGACCAGAAAGAGACCTACAGATAACATGTTCAATGAGGATATGAGCTTGCCTATGTGGGTGAAGAGACATTGTCATGGACATTTGGATAAAATTATCGATCCATCTCTTCTAAAAGATGTAAGGATTCAGAGTCCTGAAATTAGAAACATTTGGGAAATTGCAATCATTGAGTTAATTGAACTAGGCCTTCAATGCACTCAAGAGGCTCCTTCAACCAGGCCCACTATGATTGATGCTGCCGATGACCTTGGTCGACTGAAAAGGTATCTCTCTGGTGACACAACCTCAACTTTTGCATCCTCATTGGGAACATCATCTTCTACTATCACAGGACAAAATAAATAAAACCTCGAAATGTCTAAATTTTACATGATAATTAGAAAGAAATAAAATTACTCAAAAGGGCTCAGAAAGTTTGTTTAATAAGAACTGCCCAAAGTCCTTCTCACATCTCATGTAAAAGTGGAAGACTTTTCAATTTGTTTTGAAGAAAAATCCTGGTTGAAGCTCTATTCCACCTTTAAAATATGCTGGATATAACAGAATGCCAACCAAAATAATGCAGCACTATAAAGACTGGCATAACAAAGGAAACAAGTTTTGCAGTTTACATTGCAACCAAATCTTTCCAAGATTAAGAACAGAGTCAGAAATTCTTTAGGTCCTTATGACACATGTAGCTGTTAAGACTTCACCTGCTAAAGATACTTAGTCCAGATATTTGGAACCAAGGATGCAGCTATGGACTGTCATTGCCTCACGTTGAGAGATCATGTTATCTAATAAAGGATGTCATTATGTATTGTGCAAGGGTAACTCCTTGAAATATAAAAGAGGTTATCTAACAAAAAGGTTTTCTGTTACCTTTGGAGTGTTTACCTCTCTCTTTTTCTTCTCCTGAATTGTGTTTTAGTTTCTATCTGTGCATGTGCATGCGTGTGTGTGTGAGAGAGAGAGAAAGAAAGACAAAAAACCAATATATTTCTATAAATCTTTACCATCATTATTTTCTTAAGTAAATATAATCAAATTGCTAGATGAGTTTTTATTCTTTCTTATGATTAGGTAAGAGGGATGTGACTGCCAAAGTTCACATCAAAAAAAGTCTTTAGCAGCATTACTTCTCGGTACTATACATCAAATTATATGCCACTATAGATTTATAGCAATGTATTCGCAGCATATCACTTTGCACCATTGAGAACTGTGTCGATATAAGCCATAGCGGTATATAATAAAATACCACTATTGACAACTCAATAACGGTGTTTATTTAGTCAAAAGTGGTATATCTATATGCCACTATAAACATAGAAAAACAACATTTATGTCTTTTGCGGCAATTAGAAATGCCACCATAGATATAACAATATAGCAGCAATAAGTAAATGACGCTATTGAGTTACAATTATAGAGATATTGTGGCGATTATATGCACCACTATAGCTCGCTCCGCTTGCTCACCTCCGACAAGACCCCCCCCCCCCTTTCAACTAATGTTATGCATCTTTACTCTTAATATAAAAATTTTTTACTAAAAATAAAGAAAAAATGAGATCCCCCCTTCCTCTTCATCCTCCTCCTAACCCCCTCCTTGTGTTCAGGAGGCTTACGCCTCTTGCATTCTGAACTACGCCTCATGCCTCTAGGTAGTTGAAAGCCTCGCGTCATGCCTCCACATTTTAAAACATTGGTGATACCTATAGCAGCATTTATATGCAATATTACAACTGTAGAGAACACTGATGTGGCCCCACTGCAGTGGTCCCCACTGTGTTCGTAGGACAGCATGTGTAGTTATTTGTTTCAGTTATAGTAGTGTCAGTTTGAGTCAGTTTGTTAATTCAGTTGTTATTTATTTCAGCTTTTATTTACTTTATTTATTATGTAAGTACTAAGGGCAGATGTGTCCTTTCCATTATGTACTAAAC